ATGGGGTCATAATAATAAGCGTGTATGCACCTGAGAATAGAAATTCTAAGGATCATAGAGAGTATTTTGGGAGATTTAAGTGATTATAGATCCCTTTTGAAACCAATCTTCCAGAGTAATTGTAGTAGGGGCTCCCTGAATTGCTAAAAGTAAAAGAAACTTTTTAGAGAGGGTTTTAAGGTAAGTTTGGGGTTGCCAGGTTGTAAATTTTAATGAGAGCCCTTTGAGTTGAACCTTTGTATAAAGGTGGGTTTAGTTATATGGTAATCATATTTTAAGAATTAGAGGATAAATATAGTATAACGATTTGATGTAGGCCGTATCGCAGATGTAGTTTTTGGATTATGTATTGGCTAGTAAAAGTCCTGTTGAGTAGGCTTCAGATGTACATCATTTACTAGATGGAGGCACAGATTTTCAGAATGCACTTTTAGTTGTAGCTACACTGGCAAATAAAAGGTGATTTTGGCATACAAGGAACAATAGAAGCATCTTGGAGAGGAGGTGAAGTTTATAACTAAAAGAGGAGGCAGTTAGGGTAATGATATAAACAGCTAATTGGAGGATAGGGATGAATGCTAGGCAATGGGTCGAATGAGTATGGGTAGGTTTTAAAAATGTAGTGTTAGCAGTGTTCAGCAAAGTTTGTGGTTACAGGAAATGGGTGCAGGAGGGAAGAGGAGCTATTGTGGAATGATGTGTAAGAGTGTAGGTAAGGGGAAAAAGTTAGCATATGAGAAGTTTTTACAAGTAGAAGTGATTGCAAGGAGGGGAAGAGTATTGGAGAAAAAGAGAGAAATTAAGAGAGTGGTGAAGCAATGTAAAAAGAGAGCAAAAGGAGAGTGGGGAGATGTATCAAAAATTTGTTGAAAATTTAAAAAAAAGTTTTGGAGTGAAGTTTAACAATTAAGAAAGCCTAGAGAACAAATGGATTTGTCGTTAAAAATGGAGAGGAGGTTATTAATGGAGAGGTAAAGGTTGGAAGATGGGAAAGGGAAAATTTTGAGGAAATTTTAAATTTTGATGAAGATAGGAAGCTGTTTTATTTCGTGTTTTAAGGGCAAGGAGGGAAAAACTTTTTGTAGGAGTGAGGAAGGCCCGTTGTGAGTGTGGGGGAAGTTTGTGAGGCAGTAGGGAATGAAAGGGGGTAAGGCAGCGGGATGATGGGATAAAAAATAGAAAAGTTAAAGCAGGTGGGGATATAGTTTTTGGGGGGTTGGTGCAATATTTAATAAATGTATGGAAGAGGGTAAACTGGGGCAAAAAATCATTTTCCTTTTTTAAAGGCAAAGGGGATAAAGGAGTGCAAAAATTTTAAAAATTTTGAGTGCCCCCCCAAAAAGGGTTTTAATTAAAAAGAAAATTGTAAGAGGGAAAATACTAAAAAAGGGGCTTTAAATTTTAGGGGGGGGGGGGTTTTAAAAAATTTGTGAAAAAATTTTTAAAAAAAGATCTTTGGGTTTTAAATTTTGGAAAACGAGAAGGGGGATAGGGGGCCCCGGGGAGTTTGCTAGGGGTAAAGGCTAAAGGGGGAATTTTTTTGGGTAGGGGCCCTTTTAGGTGGAAAGGGGGGAAATTTTTTCCAGAAAAAATGGCCTTAAAAAGGGGTGTATTACCCGGTGTTTAAATTTTTATTTGAAAAAGAAAGCGGGGGGGGAAAGGGGGTTAAAAAAAAAAACAAAGTGGGGGGTTTAAGGCCTTTTCCAAAATGTGTCCCCGGGGTTCGAAAAGGGTTCTTGGTTGAATTTTGGGGGGGAAAAAAAATTTTAAAAAACGGAAATTGGTTATAATCGATTTGGTGATAAAAAAAATTTTTAATTGGGGGTTTTTTGGGGGGGGGGGTTTTTTTTTTGGGGGGTTTTCCCCGGGGGGTTTAAAAAAAAATTAAAATTAAAAAAAAAAAAATATTTTAAATTGGGAACAAGAATTTCCGGGGGCAAAAAGGGGGAATTTGGGTTAAAATTTTTTAAATTTTTGCTAGGTAGACTGTACCCACTCATAACTACCCTATTTCCAAACCAATACTTTCTATGTCCTTTCTAAATCTAATACTTATCTAATTTAAATCCAATTACTGCGGTTCTCTCTTGAGAGACATCCTCAAGACCTTATTAATATCCTCATTTTATTAATACCTATCTTCCACTTATACACTTCGATCAGGTCTCCCCTACAATCTTCGCATAACAAGAGGAATTAGAGTCCTTCAATCTTTTTCATAAGGAAGATTTCTAATGCTATGTATTAATTTAGTCATCCTACTCTGAATGTTTTCTAACGAATTTATTCCATTCTGTAGTATGGAAGAGCCAAACTGAGCTGCATAATCTAGGTGAAGGCCCTTTACTAATGATGTATAAAGCTTGCAGATGACCCTGGACTTCTGTTGCTTTACACTTCTTGATATAAATCCCCATTAATCATTCGTCGTTGTTACGTACCTTTTTAGGCATTGCTGTCTTGGTTTAAGGTTGCTGGCTCACCATAACCCTCCAATCCTGTCGCAATCTGTATGGCTAATCTCTACATCTACATCATTTAAACTTATAGAGTCTCTACTTTAGTTTATGGCACTCCAGCTCAGAACCTTGCATTTAATCTACATTGAACTGCATCTTGCACTTTTCTGACAAGAATAGAGTTTGTTTAAATCCTCACTGAAGTTCCATAACACTAACGTTTTTGAATCAATTATCGTAACTATCTTTGGTGTCATCGCGAATTTGCTCATATCACTAGTAATTCCCTCATCAAGATCATTGATAGACATAATTATAACCAACACGGGCCCAAGCCTGAGTCCCTGTGGTATGGACGTGTAATTACTCAGTCAGTGGTGACCTATGCAAGTCTTCTGGTAAATTGATGTTATGAAATCCTCAGCAGGCTCAATTGGGAAAGAAACTTTCCATAGATTTACAGTAGAAGCTCTGACACGCATCTCTCAAAGCGAATTTCTTTTATCACGTAAAAATCTACATACGACTGATTGGCTGGCGTTTTAATGACTTCCAAAGGTTTTATTAGAACTTACTGGAGGAGATCATAAGCCTCGAGACATAGCCTTCTTAACGAATCATAATCCACATATTATCTCAAAGGTAACGTAGCCGCGTACACTTTGATCTTTTACAACAACAAAGTATGTAATAAAGGTTGCCCATGGTTGTCGGGGCCAGCGCATAGCACGTGCTTGTATTCACAAAGACATCAAAATAAGTAACTAAATCACCGTCATTAAACCTTGGAACCATAGATAGCAGCTTTTGTATCTGAAAAAGAACATTTGAGGTTCATACAGTCTTTACACACACATAACCTTGCGATGTGTTGTTGTCTTATATAGCAGAGTGTTTTCCCCTTTGAAAGTCTTCTTTCATATTAATGATAACCTAGAGCCTCAATTTGAGCAGATCCTGTAAAATAAATGTCCTCTGTAATTTCTCAAATGACTTTGGATAAATTAGCCCCGATTTTATCGAAATGAGGAAATTGAAACTGGCGTATGTTGATATTCCATTTGGACGGTGCACAGTGGTGAGGGCCAGCTGACCATTAATAGAATTCCTTCAGTAACGAGGTGAATGCGAACATCTTCAGCACCCAGCAATACTTCATCTAACTTTACTTTAGGCCAAAGTCGGTACCTAATCTAACTGATTCTATTTCAAGATCACACTCTTTGAAATTGTTCTTTCTATACTTCGAATCTCGACTGGTAAGCTTACTGAGAACCAAATACTTTCAGGAGTCAGAATCTCCTGCAGACATATGGTTAGAAAGCCCCTGGAAACAATATGTTTCCTAATAATTGCCCTTACCGTATTGGGCGTTGTATATCTATCGTATGGTACTGCACAAATTCTACGGGCAATCTCATCACGTTTGAAGTTTCAAGGATTCCAGCTTTGACAATGTTAAATCTTCAAAAACTCTTTACAGTGATCTTCCCATTGATCAATATTTGAAATTACTAAAGATGAAATCCCAGTATATAACTTTAATATAGTTCTTTTGATCAATGTCTTAGAACAAGCAGAGATGCCGCGACGGGTAACTCGCATTAGTTTCGAATAAGAAATTTTTTAAAGAACTTCAGAATGTGGCCTATTTTACCATTTATATCTTATGCAACAAATTTTTGGATCCGAGTATATTTAAAGTTTTAGAGTCTCCTAGGGAAATAATATTCAACTGAGAGAAACTCCATAGAATAATATCAAATTTATTAAAGTATTTAATACCTACTTAATCTTCTCTTTGTATAAATGTACTTAATTACTTTGTTTAACAATAAAATAACCATAAACATTTAGTTCAAAATCAAGGAAATGTCACATTAAAAGGAATTTAAATTAATTCTTCCTGGTAAATTAAGACTTCAATAACATTTATCACGTTTTGTCCTTAACTAAGACTGTAAACGTAAAATATCTCAAAACCAATTCAAACTGTACAACCGTAATAGTGACATAAACAATCAGTTGTCAGGGCTAGAGCTGGGAGCAGACTGACTCTTTTGCCAGTCTGTTGACGGTGTCCCGTCAATGTTGGTTCAGCTGAAGCCACGTCAGCCAGCCGACCATAAACATAGTTGATCAATTCACCGGATATAAGTTTTCCTCTATATACACAAGAAATCCTACCTAACAATAATACTAAAATAATAGTGATAATAACAAAATAGTGATAATAGTGATAATAGTGATAATAGTGATAATAATGATAATACCATGGTATTTTTCATATATTAACAGATAATAATGTATCGCCGAAAGTCTCTATTTTAGCTATAAACGGGGACTTTCGCGCTATAATATTAAGTGATGAACATATTCTCTTACAATAGTTAAATAACACAGGATGACCAATTTCGAAGATATAACACTGGTGACCTGTAGGTATTGGTAACCTGCTGTAGGTATTGGTGACCTGCTGCAGGTACTGGTGACCTGCTGTAGGTAATGGTGACCTGCTGCAGGTACTGGTGACCTGCTGTAGGTACTTGTGACCTGCTGTAGGTACTGGTGACCTGCTGTAGGTACTGGTGACCTGCTGTAGGTACTGGTGACCTGCTGTAGGTACTGGTGACCTACTTTACAAACTTATGCAACATTAATTCCTACTTCTAAACATCCCGTGTTTCCTCCTTGTGGTGCAGACTTGTGGTGGTGATGAGGGCGTGGCTGAGTGTGGTGTTATGGGCGGCGAGGGCGTGGCTGAGTATGTTGTTGTGGGCGGCCGTGGGCGGCGCTACTGGCCCACGCTCAAACTTCCTCCAGAGGCTCGACCCAGTGGACTATACTGCCACTGATTACTACATCAGTGGAGGGTAAGTATTACCACTCTTCTACTTACCTGTTTGTGGTTGCAGGGACCTAATCACAGCTCCTGATCCCGCCTATTCGCTGATTGCTACTAGGTTCACTCTCTCCCTGCTCCAAGAGCCTTATCGTACCTTTTCTTAAAGCTATGTATGGATCCTGCCTACACTACATCATTCTCCACTTTGTTCCACTTCCTGACAACTCTGTGACTGAAGAAATACTTCCTAACATCCCTGTGATTCATTTAAGACTCAACTTCTAGTTGTGTCCCCTTGCTACTGTGTCCCATCTCTGAAACATCCTGTCTCTGTCCACCTTATCAGTTCCTCTCAGTATTTTATATGTCGTTATCACGTCCCCATCTCGGATTTTTTAGTATCCATATCTGGCTTCTCCAGTGAGCATGTTAGTTATTACGTGAGTCAAGAGCCTTCAGTAATGACATCAAGTCAGTAATGAGGGCAGAGTCAAGTTCAGTGTTATAAGTTAGCTTTAGAGCCATTAGGATGGCAAACCCTTCAGTTTGCAGTATAGACGCCCAATTATTAATTCTTATGCCTAACTCAACATAGTTGCTATCGTTTTTAACTAGGGAGGGGGCAAAAAGAGCAGCTGCACCCCCTTTCCAGTACACTCCTGCTTACATCCAAATGTAATAACTTGGGGGAAAAATTAATAAAAAACAACGAAAATTTCTTATTGAGCAGTTGCTTTTCAAGTGTTTTAAGGAAGGTTTTTACTAGTGATGATTTTTCAGGGAACTGCAGGTATGTGATGCAAATGAACACACTTCCATAGTTTGGGTTGTAAGAGAATGGAGCGAGTTACGGGAAAGGCAAAAAAAATTTAAAAAATAACTAACACAAAGCGGGAGTTGTCACAGATGTTTTTGCAGATGACCTGTGCTTTTGGGAGATTTAAAGAAAATTTTTCAGAGGTTGGGGAAAAATTTTTTGGTAGGGTATTAAAAAAAGATGGAAATTATAAGCAACATAAAGAGTAAGGTGAGGGGGGCAAAAAAAATTTAGGAAATGAAACTGGATAAGTTAGAGGAAGGGAGAAAAGGAGGAATGTTTTGGGTTCGATATCTGACAGGAACCGTTAAACATAGGGTCTAGAACGAGGGTAAACCCAAAAAAGAAAAAAAATGTTGAAGGGGTGCATGAAGAACGTGGAAAAAAAACGATCAATAAAGCAAAGAGGGAAAATAATGAGGTTTAGAAAACCGGTTCTTACGGGGTTTGGAAGCAGGGGGTAAATTTTTGCAAAAGGAGAAGGCTGGGCATGGGACGCCGTGCGAGAAATGTGCGGTGGAATTAAAATGCAAAAAAATCCTTTTTTGGAAATTAGGAGGAGGTGTGGGGTTACGAAATTTTATCAGAGGGCTGGGGGGGGTTGTTGAGGGGGTTTTCGAATTTTAGGGGAAGGAACAAAAAGAATGACCTGAAGGGCATAAAATCTGTAGGGGAAAGGAAAGGGTGAGTGGACTCTCCAGAAAGGGCAGAGGGAGGGGGGACATTTTGATAGGATGAGTGAAGACAAGGGTTTTTTATGACTTGCGTGCTTTTGGGAGTGGGGAGCAAGGGTAACATTAAAAGGGGTTTTCGGGGGAAACTGGTTTCCTGCTTGATTCCAGGGAGCAAGTAGGTCCACCCTCGGAGGGGGGGGGGATATTTTTGTAGTTTTTAAACTGTAGAGTTACCCACTCTGACAAGACAGGGGAAGTAAAAGGTTTAAAAGTGTTTCTTTTTTATGGGGTCACCCTGCCTTGGAGGAAACGGCCCGATGTTTTTAAAGAAAAATCCCATAAGGTGGAAAGGGCCTTCGTTAAACCCCTCAAAAGGACTCATAAAAACCCGACCAACGCTTTAGCCCTGGGCACAGCTAAAATAAGTTCATTCAAAAAGTTTTTTATACTCATTGGAAGGTTACATGGGCCACCACGTGACCCACCTCGGTGTGCAAAAAAATCACTGGCTCTAACCCACGGGACCAGAAATCCAGTAAAATCAAGCCCCAGCAAGCAGGTGTTTTCCCCTTGTTTCGAAGTAACGTGGATTTCCCGAGGACATCTGAGGACATCCGAGGGCATACCCCGTTCATGGTTACAATAATTATAGACTGCTAATGAAACATACACCAAAAAGGGGAATAGAAGAAATTAGCTCAAAGGGCCCACACCTCTTTTGTCCTTGGATCAAGGTAAAACACCTAGTTTTCGAGCTTTATTTTTGTAGGATTTCAAAGGTCATGTGGGTTAGAGGTTAGTGATTTTCGCTCCCATGAGGGGGTTTAAAAAATCATGGGTTCGAACCCGCTAGTCGCAATGCTGTTTTTGATTACAATATATATTCCGAGTTTACCGGAGGGGTTTTGAGGGGCAACGACTCCTCGGGTCGGCTACACTAGGCCTTTTGGGGGGACGGGTCTGATCAACCAGGGTGTTTCTGCTGGCCCACGCAAGCGACGTAGAACCAAACCCAGTGGGCAGATACTGACTTTAGGGGTCCCGTCCAGTGCCTTCTTGAAGACAGCCAGAGGTTATTGGTAATCCCTCTTATTATGCTGGGAAAACAGTTTAACAGTCTTGGGCCCCGGACACTTACTGTTTTGTCTCCAGTGTACTCGGTGCCCCTGCTTTTTATTGGGGGAATTTACAAACTCTGCCAAGTCTTTTGCTTTTTATAGGGGTGATTTTCGTGTTAAGTTTTGGTACAAACCCCTAGATTTTTTCCCAATTTTGAATATTACATGTATCTCTCTCCCTGCGTTCAAGGGGAAACAAATCAAGGGCCCTTTAAAACCCTTCCCAGTAATTTAGGGGGCCCTTTTCGTACCATGGTTTTCCCTCAGGGCAGCAAATTCGCCAACCTTGAACTCTAGGACTCGTTCAATGTTATTTTTTCTGTTGTTTAAGGGTTTTTTCCGGTTAACAAGGTTTTTAAAATTTTTGTTTCATTCATTTACATTCTATGGGACAAATAACTATTTTTTTTTGGGTTAAATCTTATAAAACACAACATTTTCTACAGTTCGTAGGATTGGGAAAAAAAAGAATAGTATTTCAACAATCTAATGGGGAAATTAGGTTCGCGTCCGACCACATCGGGGCGCCACCTGATATTTGGAACAATTAGGTGTGACCAGAAATTCCCCTGTGTGAGCTCTGAATTCCCATTAATGACGCACAATTAATGGGCAGAAATATTGTGTTGAGTTGTGCACTGAGCTCGTAACTACAATGTGTACATCATTTTTACCACATGCCGTGCACTGCTCTAGTAAAATCAGTGCCTGTCACTGCAGTCTCGTTCACCACAGTGCCTGTGCACTGCAGTCTCGTACACTACAGTGCCTGTGCACTGCAGTCTCGTACACTACAGTGCCTGGCACTGCAGTCTCGTACACTACAGTGCCTGTGCACTGCATCTCCGTACACTACAGTGCCTGTGCACTGCAGTCTCGTACACTACAGTGCCTGTGCACTGCAAGTCTCGTACACCACAGTGCCTGTACACTACAGTCTCGTTCACCACAGTGCCTGTGCACTGCAGTCTCGTACACTACAGTGCCTGTGCACTGCAGTCTCGTACACTACAGTGCCTGTGCACTGCAGTCTCGTACACTACAGTGCCTGTGCACTGCAGTCTCGTACACTACAGTGCCTGTGCACTGCAGTCTAGTACACTACAGTGCCTGTACACTGCAGTCTCGTTCACCACAGTGCCTGTGCACTGCAGTCTCGTACACTACAGTGCCTGTGCACTGCAGTCTCGTACACTACAGTGCCTGTGCACTGCAGTCTCGTACACTACAGTGCCTGTGCACTGCATTCTCGTACACTACAGTGCCTGTGCACGCAGTCTCGTACACTACAGTGCCTGTGCACTGCAGTCTCGTACACCACAGTGCCTGTACACTACAGTCTCGTTCACCACAGTGCCTGTGCACTGCAGTCTCGTACACTACAGTGCCTGTGCACTGCAGTCTCGTACACTACAGTGCCTGTGCACTGCAGTCTCGTACACTACAGTGCCTGTGCACTGCAGTCTGTACACTACAGTGCCTGTGCACTGCAGTCTCGTACACTACAGTCCCTGTGCACTGCAGTCTCGTACACTACAGTGCCTGTGCACTGCAGTCTCGTACACTACAGTGCCTGTGCACTGCAGTCTCGTACACTACAGTGCCTGTGCACTGCAGTCTCGTACACTACAGTGCTTGTGCACTGCAGTCTCGTACACTACAGTGCCTGTGCACTGCAATCTCGTACACTACAGTGCCTGTGCACTGCAGTCTGGTACACTACAGTGTCTGTTCACTGCAGTCTCGTACTTCACAGTGCCTGTGCACTGCAGTCTCGTACACAACAGTGCCTGTGCACTGCAGTCTCGTACACAACCGTGCCTGTGCACTGCAGTCTCGTACACTACAGTGCCTGTGCACTGCAGCCTCGTTCACCACAGTGCCTGTGCACTGCAGTCTCGTACACTATAGTGCCTGTACACTGCAGTCTCGTACACAACAGTGCCTGTACACTGGAGTCTCGTTCACCACAGTGTCTGTGCACTGCAGTCTCGTACACTACAGGGCCTGTGCATTGCAGTCTCGTACACTACAGTGCCTGTGCACTGCAGTCTCGTACACTACAGTGCCTGTGCACTGCAGTTTCGTACACCACAGTGCCTGTACACTGCAGTCTCGTACACAACAGTGCCTGTACACTGCAATCTCGTTCACCACAGTGCCTGTACACTGCAATCTCGTTCACCACAGTGCCTGTGCACTGCAATCTCGTTCACCACAGTGCCTGTACACTGCAATCTCGTTCACCACAGTGTCTGTGCACTGCAATCTCGTACACCATATTGCCTGTACACTGCAATCTCGTACACCACAGTGCCTGTACACTGCAATCTCGTACACCACAGTGCCTGTACACTGCAATCTCGGTCACCACAGTGCCTGTACACTGCAGTCTCGTACACCACAGTGCCTGTACACT